ATATTCAAATGAAAGTTTAAGTCATGAATTTCGAAAAAGATATTCCAATGAAATTTTAAGTCATGAATTTAGAAAAAAATATTTTTTTTAATAAATCGTAAAAGGAAACATAGGAGGAAAATATTTCAATTCATGTAAAAGAAATCTTGTGATTCACATAGAAAAATCTTCTCTTTAGTAAAATACCAAGAAAAATAGTAGGAGTACAAAGAAGAGATCTTGATAAAAAAAAAATATCTCAAGTAATTCTAAGAAACCAAGATCATGATTTTGATAAAACTTATTCAAATTCAGAACGTCAAAATCATCAAAATCTCAACATTTATTTCAAGACATTCAGAATGGCATAAATAATTTTATTGATCTCTTAGTGAAAAATCGATAAGATAGAGAATTTTTTTTTAAAAAAAAATGCTTTTCTCCTTTTGTTTCAACTTATTGATTGAAACAATTATTAATTTTCAAGAAAATTTTCAAGAGATTTATTTGCTTTAATTAGGTCTCATTTAATTATTTATTTTCTTGATTGAAATTCTAAAGTTTGTTTGAATTTGTATAAATATTAATTCACCCCTTCTTAGTGTCATTATTAATTTTGATAATTAATAATAGATCAAAGTTCTCTTATTTAAAGTAATACTTGGAAGAAAGAGAATAACATTTTTGAACAATATGAGGTTGTTCTATCACGTGTCTTCTTATATTCAATGCAACAAATTATATATATTAAAAAATAGAATGAGGAGTTTTTTAATTATTTTATATGGATTATAATTTATAAAATATTATTAAGTTTGATTTTTAAATATATTTAAAATTTATTAATAAATGAAATAATTTAAAAAAAATATTTTTTTTAAAAGTTCAATCTTAGAATTCAAGTTTGATATACTCTTCGAATCACTCACGAATATAACATTAACAATTTCATACATTATTTATGAATTATTTAAAATAAAATCAAACAAATTTATTAAAAATATGTACACTTGTTATGGATGTTATCCACGCATAAAAAGTCATTTGACAAAAGTTACTCAGGTGAGTACAATTCGTAGGTCACTTTTTAATTGGGATACAAAACTAACTACGGTTTAAGAAACTAAGGACCTAACAATCTTTTAATTAAAGAATTCATATGATCATTAGTTATCTATCAAGTTGATAGTATTTTAAAATCGACAGACATGTGGAGTCTAATTAGTCAACAAATGTTGACGTGGTAAATAGATGTGTCAAATCAACATGAGATATAAAAAAAATAGTTTTCATTGATGTATTTAATCTTAATTGACAACAACAGCTAAAAAATGAATGCTATGCGTACGAGGAGTCTCTCTCGACAAGTATCATCTCTATGATTCGGAGCTCATAGAACTCTCGATTTGAATGTTAAAAGGGTCTCGTCGGATATATCTTAGTGCAAGTTTTGTTAAAACTCTCCAAACGAAAATTCATCACATCAAACCCTTTCTAAAAATGATAGAATCACGAGATTAGGTTAAAGCTCCTCGAACAGAATCTTTCTTAGTTGAGAGTTCATTCTAAAATAATTTTTTTCAATTCCAATAAGATTAAAAAACAATATTGTGTGGCCTTACCAAATCCAATCCAAAATTAATTAATACTATTTCAAACTGAAAATTGAATCTATGTGTTTGAGTTGACGCCCTCATTTTAATTCAGTCACTTACGCCTAGTGGTATACTGATTACATTAGTTAGCCTAGTGGTAAAAAAAAAAAAAGAGGCCGGGTGGTACCGCATGCAACCAATTTTAAGGGGATCAAAGGCTAGCACAGAATATCCCTTTCGTCGTCTGGTGGCAACCTCGCCTGACCTCCGTAGGAAGACGGTTGGTTTACCGCTGTGGTGGAGGAAGCATATCTCATCCGATTCGACGACGAGGGGAGATTCCGCTGCCACTGTTGTTAACAGCGAGCATATCTGTATTATCTCACAGGCCCTTTTTCCTCCTCGCCTGCCCTCGTCATACACCTGCATCAATCGTTCACCGCTGGAGAAAAAAAAAAATAAAAAAAAATAAAAAAAAAGCGAGGCGAGAGGAGACGCGCGCGCACGCGCACACACGAGCACATCAAGGCGAGCGCGAGAGTGCTGTCTGCTGTCCCCTTTGTCCTTATCGCCTCCCCTCCTCCCTCTCTGGTTCTCTCGCCGCGCCTATTGGCTCTCCGCCACGCCCCGCATCTTTTCTCGCCCCCTACCTCTGTTCCTTCTTTTGCCTAACCTTTCCCCTTTTCTCTCCACCGCTTTTGACTGATTTGTCCTCTCCTCCTCCTCCTTTGGGATGCGCGTGCTCCGCTCTTGGGATTTCAGACACAGATTGGAAGCAGCGGCGGTAGAGAAGTTACCGATTCCATCCTTGTCGCCATCAAGACGCCGTGGTTCGTGGAGAGGTGCTGAAGCAGCGGCGGCAGAGAAGTTACCGATTTCATCCTTGTCGCCATCAAGACGCCGAGGTTCTTGGAGAGGGGCTGCTCGCTGATGACGATGACCTCCTCCAAGAAGAAGTCGCCCTCTTCGGGGCGCTACGAGTCGGAGCATGTGATGAACTACAGAGGAGGCTCGGTCCTCGGCAAGAAGACCATCCTCAAGAGCGATCACTTTCCCGGCTGCCAAAACAAGCGGTTGACCCCCCAAATCGATGGCGCCCCCAATTATCGCCAGGTCTGTCGGTGTCCGCTTTTGTGTTCCTCTGTGTGTCGTCTTTCTTTCCAGTCCGCTTCATGTTCATTCTTCATTCTCTTATTGTGTGGTCTTCAGTGCTGTTCGAATCGATTGGTTGTTATTGACTGTTTCGATACCCTCCTCCAATTTTCGTTCAGAAAACTATTCATTTGCCTTAAAATTGATGATACCTAAATCAGCGAAATAAACAGACCGTGTAGGGTTGGATTTGCAGGTAGAATCCCAAGTGTTCGTAATGGGCAATTAACTATCTGGCAGATTTATATTGGTCATCTTTAACATTGACATCCGACAAACTTCACACTTGTGTGTAATTACTAAACTGGCGTGAACGTTTTGTACACATGTACGAGACCTGATTTCCTTTTCTCTTTTTGTTTTAATAAAACATGAGTTTGTATCTGCAAGGTTGAATTCTAGCCAAGTGATAGTACTCGTGATTTCATAAGAAATAAGGCAGAATACTTGTGCATTTCCTCTGAGATTTTCTTTCCCAATATTTTCCATCTATGTTTGTTTCTTGAGATTCTGATTCCACCATATCATCATTGCCAAATCGGGCAATCGACTCTCTGGAGGACTTGTATGAGTCATGCTGGGTATTGACATCTGACATTATTTACACGTGTGTATTTTCTTAACCAGTGTGGATATGTTCATTAATCCATGACCTGCACTGGTGAGACATGATATATTCTTTTCTTATTTCTTTTGGTTTTGTTAGATATGATGATTCTATTGTTTATATCTGCATGTTGAATTTATGACTAGTGATGCATACCAAAATAAATGCTGGAGTTAAGCATTTGAGTTTAGATTGTCTTTTTGGTTCTTTTCAGTATATGCATTTTTCTTGTGATTCTGATGCCTTCATTGCTAGCAATATTTGAGATTGTGTTTTCAGTCTTTTTCATCTATGCTTGTTTCTTGAGCTTCCGATTTCTTTACTGCTAGAAAAGTTAACAAAATTGGGCAGCACAGCCGCAGATGCTTGTGCTAAAGCAGGCCTGGAGGGTCAATATATGCAACCTTTTGCTTGTGAGTAAATGGGTTTTTTCTGTTACACAATCCTTTGTTTCGAAAAGAACAATCTTACTTGGAACCAAGGCTTGCCTTGGCGATAACTGATATTTTAAAATATTCTATATGTTATTTTTTCATGAGCATTTGAGATTGATTAGTCAACAGCAATTTTCTGGTTCTTGTAAGCTATTTGAGCAAGACTAGATTCCATAAAGATTTTAAAGTTCTTTTGCCTATAAATGCATTAATATCTACTGATCAAGTGCTTTAACCTAGTTAATTACTCAGGAACTGTAAAATATATAACTTCTAAGGCTTTTCCAATATTTTATTTACTCTGAACTTATTAAGCTATTAAAAAAAAAGTGTTAGCGGAATGACATATCACCACCATTGAGATATTTACTCTCCTTTGGATTCTTGCTACTGGAAAATAAGGATCTTCAAATGATAATTATCTTCAAACATAATTAGCACTTACATGCCTTCGGTGTTTTGACTTCCCCTTCCTGAAAGCAAATCATAGTACTTGCAGATGCTATTAAGATTACCATTTTGAAAAGATAGAGAGATCTTTAACTTTTGGAAAGCCTAGAACTCAACATGGCAGTTTGCAAGATATGGAATAATGAGTGTTTAGCCTGTCAGCCTATTAATAATTTCTGACAAATATCTTTTGCACATCACAAATCTAGATTATCTCCATAGTGATTTAATTTCTGTTGAAAATGCAAAATCTAAATAGGGACATTCCTATGGATTTCATACGATAGCCTGGTACTTAATTCTGAATAACATATTTGGCTAATTATATAACAAGTATAGGCTACACTTGAGAGCATATGACTCTTCTAAGCATGGGTCATTATAAAGTTGACAGCAGTTGCATTTGAGTCTGGATGTCAACATGCTTAGTCCTCTTCAAATCAACATGTTTTTCATCATATTTGTTCAATTATCTCTAAATGTCATATGCCATACATTTCATGCACCAGCAAAATTTTCTTAACTATGGTTAAATGAACTTTATATCTCTCAGCAGGATACCAGCAGATTAGGCTTGTGTCTGGTTTTTTGAGCGAATTGTTCAGGTGTTATTGATTTTATTACATTTTAAAGTCAAGGAACATTAAATATAGATGAGCCTTTTTAAAATGTAATAACTAATAAGATTTTCTGGTTGGTTAAATCAACATGTTTCTCATCATATTTGTTCAATTATCTCTGAATGTCATAAGTCATACATTTCGTGTACCAGAAAAATTTTCTTAACTAAGTATGGTTAAATGAACTTTATGTCTCTCAGCAAGATACCAGCAGATTGAGCTTGTGTCTGGTTTCTCGTGCTAATTGTTCACGTGTTATTGATTTTATTACATTTTTAAGTCAAGGAACATTAAATATAGATGAGCCTTTTGATTGTAATAACTAATAAGATTTTCTGGTTGGTTTCAAACCAAGATGATTGTGCATCAGAACTGAGTTCTTATGTTGCAATTTTGACCCTGTTAGGGAAATACAATTGCCTTTTATTCTCTTTTTTCCCAAGGTTTACTTGGGATGAATTTTGTACTAATTTTATATTTATGATAGTTGGGATTTGGATCATCCATTTTTGAAAGAAGAAAATAGTCATGTATGAGTAATGCATTTTTATAGTAAATGTAAGGCTTTTAAACACTTAATTTCTTGAAATTGCATATATAATGGTTTTGAAGTATCATGGCTAGACAATTACGCTAGTTCAATTTAAAATGTTGTAATATATGTAAAATACAAATCGGAGAAGGCAACTGGAGATTATTTGTTTCTCTTTTTGAACCTTAGCAACAAGATTGACTGGTTTTTTTTTTTTAATTTCTATGATGCCCACATGTAAAAAGATTGTGCACAAATAACAAGGTTCGACAGTATGTGAGGATGTTGATGTCCGATTGTTGATCACATAAGAAGACAGTTTAATTATTGAATAGTTGACTATTTAGTTTTGGTATGTATTAAAGCATTTATAATGATACAAACTTTTTATAAAATAAATGCATTGTCTCTTGTTGATAGGGTATTTACATTTAAGCTTATGCATAAACATTGCTTAGGTGTTGCTAACATTTGAAATTGCATGCATTCTACATTATTCTGCCTACTTCTGTACTGATGAACATGTCCTCCAAATTTATTGTACATGCACACTTTTGCCATTGATGATACTTGAGTAACTGTTAAGCTGATTGATATATTTTGTAGGCTGGTTCATTGCATGTTCATGGGGTTGCTATACCTACAATAGATGGGATCCAGAATGTACTTAATCATATTGGAGCAAAACAAGACTTAAAGAAAAAAGGTGTCCTGTGGCACAATCTTCGAGAAGAGCCTGTAAGATTATCTAACTACTCTCACAAAATTATCAATGAATATTTTTTTTTCATTTTTGTACATGATCTTTATTTGTTTAAACAGGTTGTCTACATCAATGGCCGCCCCTTTGTCCTACGAGATGTTGAAAGGCCTTTCTCCAATCTTGAGTACACGGTTTGTAGATAATATTCTATTGTTGAAATGGACTTTAGTCTATGTAGTATTTTTGTTTTCTAAATATTTGCTCTAGAAAAAGAAATATTCTTTAAAACTTTTAGCTTGTATAAATTCTGCTTTTTCTTATTTCACTTTAATGGCTAGCAGCAAAACAATAAAAAAATCCGTGTTGCATTTGATCCGAAAGTTTCTCATTTGGGACAATGAAGCTAGTTACACTTAAAAGCTAAAGTGTAAAGTGCAACAATTGCCTTACCAAAGGAATGCATATGGTGGGTTGTGATTGGACTTGATATCATGCCATCAGCATGGCAACCTGTTGTGCCAGTGTTACCATGCTATCAGGGGAAGAAGAAATCAAGAAAAAAAGAGAGCAAAAAAGAAAGTTGAAGCCATAAATACACAAATGTCATTGTGGTTGTTTGACTGCATCCAACTTCTTGACTAGTGGCATAAGATCCTTCCATTGCTAAACCATGAGGTCCCAAATTCATTGGCCGTGATGTGATGTTACCTGAAGGTCGGGCAGGCCTCTAATGAATCATGTTGATTTGTTCAACTTTAACTGATGAATTAATTATTCAGAAAACCAAAAGAAAGGTTTTAAAACTCCGAAGTATCAAAAAACTTGGCAAAAAGAGCTCCATTAATTTAAAAATGCGATCTTTGCCTACATGGAGAAATAACAACTATTACTGTTAGGGTTTTCTTTATCATCCCTACAGTTAGATTTAGTTTCCTATTTCTTTCAAAGTGCATTAATTCTAATGTCTTTTCCTTAAAACATATCTATTCCAAGATAAAATGGTAACTTGCAATGAAACAGTCTGCATGTTACCTATGACACACTAATATTCCCACATGGGGAAATCCATATTGGCTTACTTGCTATATTTGACTTTCAATGGTCAACTTATAATTTATATGGTGAATCCTGCACCATTCACAAGTTATTAAGTTAGTAGGTTATTTAGGTCATGTACAAGTAGTATCATAGCAAATCTGTGGGCTTTTCCATCTGGTCATTTGGGCTGAGTTCCACAGGGAACACCAAAAGACCATTGTCTGTCATGTGTGACAACTTGACAAGGATCTCAGGATTTGCTAGAGTGTTGGTGATATCCAAATAGCCCCACATGTACTTTAATATGTGCTTAACAGCTAGCTACTAAATTTTGTGTTGTTTGCTAAGCTTCCACTCCATTCATTATTATTAGGTTGGTAGATTACTTTTATTATGACATCGGTCAACTTTTTAGTCTAAACAAACTTGTAATTTTTCATTATCGAACTCACACTTCAAGCATATTCACAAAACGAAGTTTAAAGAAGACAAAAAGTTGATAAATGGAAGGCCTTATTTAGTGGAGTATAATCATCTGCTGCTCTTTGACACTATAGAATATACAACATGTTAGATATAAGCTACATAGCTGTCACTGGATTATATTATTGGCTGAAGTCTGTCATGTAAAACTGAACCCATTGTATAATGAGTTGCATTTTAAACTTGTTAAATGACCATGCATATTATTTCATTTGCTTTGGCCTCTGTGATCAGAGATGGTTGCAATTGAGCCTGGTCCTTAGCTGACACTACGTTTGTCAGTTAAGGCATATTCACAACATTTACAGAACATTGAGAATTATGCATGAAAACCTAGGAAAGTAATAATGTGAAATGAACATGGTAGATGATGCATAGGAGCCTGGCAATTTACATTTGGTTAGTCGAAAGGAACTAGCAGAGGCTCTATCTGAATTTTTCTTTTAATAAGCTGCAAAGAGGATGCAGAGACAAAGAGGAATGGACAAGGAAGGTTTTGGAAGTTCCAGTGATAGTAAATCATTTTCTAAATGTCCACTTGATGTTTGAATTGCATTTTCCTTTTCTTTGATATGACTTCTTGATGTAAGTTTGTTCATCATGACCTCTAACTTTGATTTATATTGATCCGTTAATTTAGTCCAACTGAATATTTAATTGTTTTGGTCCTTTGATGTTTCTTCCATTTTAATTTTTCTTGTTTAAAATATTAAAATTCAGATGCCAAGGTACAAACTTGTTTGGCAACTTTATTTCTACTTTTTTTCTTAAGTGCTTAATTATTTATGAGACTTTGGAAGCTGAAAGCTTCTCTGGAGAATTTAGAAACATCTTTCTTTTCTTTTTCAGCTTGTGACCATTCAAGAAGGAGTCACAATCAACTAACATCAAAACTGATTTGTTGTATCCCTTCCTCTGATCTTCTGACATGCATGATGTGCACTGATAAGAATATTCTATTTCAGTCCTGCATCCATCTAATATAACCTGCCAGAACCATTTTTATCTGATTGTCTGCTCCCGTATGCCTTCGACTTATCTAATCATTCTGTTGGATAAAACTGTGACTGACAGATGAAACCAAAACAGGAATAACAATTCTATTCTTATTTTGAGAAGCATCAACAACTAGATTATTCCAAATATATCCTTTACGAGGGGTTTAGAGCCTCCAGTTTTCTTAAAGAATCTAAACAATTCAAAATGACTTGATTTCCTGCTTGCACTTGCTTGTCGTTGAGTTATTCAAATTTGCATTATCTTCAGATTGGTTTTTCATGTCATTCTAGGGAATCAACAGGGCTAGATTGGAGCAAATGGAATTTCGGCTGAAAGAAGACATCTTGCGAGAAGCTGCGCGGTACGCATATAAACATTATTCATCATTTTAAAGGAAGGTTCTGTGAGGTTTTCTTACTGAAAATTTGACATATCAGTTATGGGAATAAAATCCTTGTAACTGATGAACTGCCAGATGGCCAGATGGTGGACCAATGGGAACCAGTGATGCATAACTCTGTCAAAGCACCTTTAGAGGTACTTAAGTCGATGATAGTTGTATAGTTTGTTAAATGATCATAATTGTTTTCTTTGAAGCTCTTTATTTTTTCACATTTTTAATGTTCTGTCTAGGTGTATGAAGAGCTACAGGAAGAAGGATATCTTGTTAATTATGAGCGTATTCCTATTACAGATGAAAAATCCCCAAAAGAAGGAGATTTTGATGATTTGGTCAGATTTCTTATCTCTGTCAAATTATGAAGTTTTCCCCCTTTTTTTTTCCTGATTTTGACTTTAGAAGTATTCAATATTTAAAATGGAGAAACTAGAACCAGAAAAGGAAAGCGCAAATATGTAGGTTGTAATATTGTCCAAAGAGACATTATTTCTACCATTAGAAAACACAGAAGCTCCAATCTAGTGCATCTGTCTAAGAAGATAGCTGCAGTTTCAGATTCTGACCGAAAAAGAAAGAGAAGGAAAGAAAAGAAGAAAGAGGAAAGAGAGACGAGGACAGAGAGTGAGAGTGAGGAGATCAGAGGGGGAGACAGGAGACTGGAAAGAGAGAAGAGAGAGAGAGAGAGACTGTGAGTAGTAGTCAATGAGGGGGATGGATGAGCAAAGAGAAGTTTGGAAAAGGAAGTGGACTTACCTCTTTCTTTCATGAGTGGTTGCTGGTTGCCAACTCTGTTTGATGCCAGCCCCATGGTCGGTAGTTTTGCCTTGGACTTTGGCTTCAATTCTTAGGTTTCACTTGCTGCCTATGTATTGGGGCAAAGAAGTAAGAGATAATTCTCATATTTTTCTTTTGCTCTTATATAATATATAACTTTCTAATATACGTAATTAACATATATAACATTATAAAATAAGCTTATATAGCCAGCCTTAGCAGTACAGCATGGTCTCTTCTTTGAGACCAAGATGGCTAGGGTTCGAGTAATGTATACCTCTCTGCTAGTAAGGGTTATTAAACTGATGGGTGCCTTGTGCACTGGCATAAACTTATACTATTAACTATTAACTTGTAACTTACAACCAAGGTCTACCATACCGAAGCGTACCACTCGTACCGGGCGGTACGTACCGGTCCGACAGGTTACTGGTACGCGGACCGTCCGGTACTGCTACAGTGCTATAGTACTATACTATAGCACTGCTACAGTATGAAAAAAATAAAAAAAATTTGGTACACCAGGGCATACCACTCGGTATGCCCTGATGTACCGCCCGGTACACCGGTACCGTACCGTACCGAGCCCAGGTCAAAACGCCGGTATCGTACGGTACAACGAACTTTGCTTACAACTAATATTATTAGCATATGTTAAGTTATAGCTGTCTTATATTATTTACTTACAACCAGTGATTTCAATAGGCGCTCGGGCGCTCGCCTAGGCGCTCGAGCGAGGCAGGGCGAGGCCCGAGCGCCTCGCTTCATATCCAAGCGCCTCGCTTCAACGAGGCACCGCCTAGGCCCTCGCCCGAGCCCAGGCGTCGGGCGCTTCGGGCGAGCGCCCGGGTTAAACCAGGCGACCGAACCAGTGTTTTACGTCTGGTTCGGTCTCCGGTGCTTTAGTTGGATCAATCGAACCAACTAAATCACCGATAGGCTCCCTCTCACGATTTTCCCGACTTCCCCAACCCTAACACTCGCGATTTTGCCGTCGAGATTTCTTCTCCGTTGTCGTTGCTCTCTGCTGCCGCTGCCATTGTCGCTACTCGCCGCTGCCACAATCGTCGCTCATCGCTGTTGTCGGCGCTCGTCGCTCGTAGCTCCCACTCCCACTCCCACTCCCGCTCCCGCTCCCGCTCCCA